CGATTAGACTGCGCTGTTCGCCTGTGCTAACAACAAGGAATTAATTCATTTTATGTTTCCTGTGTGTGTGTGTGTCTGTATCTTATGGATACGTAGCTTCGACGGCTGCTGCTTACGCCTACATATTGATTTTCGTATTTATTTTACTTTTTCGCTCTCTGCTTTTGATTATTTCCCTGGGAGTCAGAGCCCAGGAGTTCGATGGCTGGATGGACTGTTGGCTGCAGGCCAGGTCTTTGTACAGTACAGTGTAGTCTGCTTATAGCGACCCAGCAGCGTAACTCACCTGCGAAGGGTTAACCTCAAGCGAGGCTGCACTGTGCTCGGCTGCCGCTGCCGGCAAGAAAAATGATTGCGAAGAGCAAAGTGGCCCGGGCCAAAAGTTGAGGTGAGGTTTAGGTAGTGCGCTGCCTTCTATTCATTTCTGCGCGTGTGTGGCCTGCGGCTGTCCTGGGGAATCTATCAGCTGAACCTCCAGCTTCAGCTTCAGCTTCAGCTGCTCCTCCATCCTCGTATCCACCCAGCCTTTATTGAGTTTGTGCGCAGGCAAATTGCATTAGACACTTGGCAGCAGAAATGAAAGAAAACGGACTGCTCCTCCTCGGGGCCCCAGCCCGAAGTCGGAGTGGAAATTAAATTTTAAACAAAATATATCATAAACATGCAGCGAACTCAACCCTAAATATTTCAAGTGGCCTGCCCCCAACCCTTTGCGTGTTTTATGTTTCCTCAACAAGTGTGGGGAAAATGTGTTGTGCCCTATCTGGAGGATGAGGTTTTACGACCCAGGCGTCCTTTTTCTTTCAACGGAATGCGTTTTGTAACTCGATCGCACCCCATCCCTTTTCCAAAAAGCAGACTACTCGAGACTCGAGGCATTAATGTCTTATTGACAGCTCAGGATTAGAACGAAGCCAAGTGTCTGCCGGCTGGGCGAGTGTGTTTGAAAAGGGATTATAAAGCGATTTGTTTGTCGAAAATTATGAATCTGGGAACAGCCAGGGAGCAGCTCCCACACGCTGTGTGTGGCTCAGTCATTTTTGATGTGCTCTGATGCCAAGAAGGGAAAATCGGGCAGCGATGGCATCTCAAATCTCTTGGCTTTTGTTTGGCAGCATGGTTTACGGTATTTTCAGGGGGGAAGTTTCATCAATTTTGACGTAAGCCAAGACAATGTTTTTCACTCTCCTGTACCATTTTGATGAAAAGGGGGATTTCACAAAGAAGAACATTTCATCTGCTAATATTTCTAAAGTTACTTATCTCCCAGTTGAGTCCCTAACAGTGCTATAAAATTAGACAAAAACTCTTCCAAGATCAAACCATGGTTAGCTATCAGCAGACTGTTGCCTAATCTTAACTACCTACCCAAAAACAGAAATGTTTATTTCCATTTCGGGTTTATCTGGCCAACATGTCAGGTGCCCAACAATGGTTGTTTCATCCCAAGTCCGCTGTTAAACGAAATCTCAAATCTAATCTCGGATTCATTAGTTTTATGCATATGTGTTGGGTAATTTCAAAATCGATCGATCGCAACGAATCGAAGATCCCACAAAGAAATTCCAGCCCGAAGATTTCACATTCGATGATTTCAATTTGAATGTGAATTGGCAATAAAACGCCAAGTTTATCAGCTGCCGAAGGGTCGAATAAACATACCATAGAGGTCTGCGGTTTTCCAGTTTTTCCTGCCCCGGGCCGCAACTCGTTATACAACTCTATTAGTTTTCATTTCGTTCGGTCGCGCATACAAATCAACTAATTTTCCCCAGCCCAAAATCTCGCTTTCTATGGAGTGCACTCCAAAATGTGTTTTTGTTTCTTCGGGCCGTAGATCTCGTTCTCATAATTTATGTAAATCCAGCGAGGACTGTCACTTTTATCTCCTTCGCTGAGTACTTGGCCGGGCATTTGAATAAAATTTCAATTTTCATGCATAGCGATATCAGTTCGTTTTGTCCGAGGCCAATTTATATTATATGCCAGCCAGTTAACTCAATTATTCTGAGAGAATTCCGGACCTGGCCAAGAGTTTCGTCGCCATTATTAGTGCAACATTATGTCGTTGCCTCGACAACATTTATTTTCCCAAGGAATGCCAGACACGTCCTATATCCGTGTCTTACTCTTCGACTTTAAGGATGAAATAGAGCAGCAGAAGCAATTTCTGATTGTGGCTGGGGCCTGACTTTGACATTTCGGGCTCAAAGCCTCCGACTTGCCGGCTTTAAAGCTAACAAAATCATTTACCCTGACCTTTGTGCTGCTTTGCGGCTTAAAAATTGCCTTTAAATGCGATTTAATTTATTTGCCGTTTCGGACAGCTCTTATCAGAGGCTTTCGCCTCTCGGCTTTCGTTTGTATTCAATAAATAATTCCCCAGATTATATTCTTTAATTAAATGCTCTGAATTTCCCAATTTCCCAATTTTTTTATTCCAGCTGCCACATAAGTTTTTGCCCTACGTGCATGGAATAATTGCGTTCACATATTTGGGTAATTAAGCTGCAGAGGGGGGCAATGCTGCCAATTTCGGTGTTAATTCAAAAGCCCTAAACTCATAACAAACATTTTTGGCTATTCTCAACTGTTTTTCACAGTTCTGCCCCGACTGCAATATAAGTTTCACAATTATATTTTCTACACGCTCATATTTGAGGGCAAATAAAAGTGCCAGGAAATATAAATGAAAATAATGTGCAAACATTTCGCACTAATTAAAAAGCAGGGTGCTGATTTTGGGGGGCGAGGTGCAGAGCAAAATGGAACAAAATGAAAATATATTATATAAATATTGAATCGATGCTGCCTGGAATTGAATGGGACATGTGTAATTGCTTTTCCCATCTCAGCGATGTGTGAATATCGATTGTTGTGCATTCTGTGCACTTATTGACGGGGCAGCCCCTCTGTATCTTTTCATTTCCACATCCCCGATTTTTGTTGTTGGGCGTATCTCGTTTGTTTATTTGCCGGATGGTGGGCGGTGCCACCAACTTCACCACCATTCCCACCATTCGGCGGGCAAACAGAGGAAGCCGCCGGCAGGCACGTTTCCACGCAAAACCGATTGAAACTGAAGACGCGTTTTTGGACATTCAATTGGGAATTGGGAATGGGGAATTGGGAATCGGTAGTGGGTGGGGGCACCAATGTGGCCCACGCACTGCCAGATGACAGCTGTCGCCGCAGCCCCATCCCCATGCCCCATGTATTGCGAAAGACTCAACTTCAATTCCGGACTGCCTCACCGCCATCAAAGGCAAATCAAAGCGCGCTGAGCCCGGCTCACGTGACTCTACAATTTATTTCAAGCATGCAGCGAAAATAAATTTATTAATAGCCCCAGTCGCGGCAGAAGAAGAAGTATTACCGCCACCCACACAGCTCGGTTCAGTATCTCTCCATCACCATCGCCCGTCCCTCAAAACCCTGAAAACCCCCAACACCGTGTTCATTCATTCAAAAAAAGCCAGAGATTCGCAGTTGGATTCGCAATTTGGCTTGCGTGAAGGAAGCTCAGTTTTCTGCCCGTTCTCGGGGTCCGCGTCAATTTATGCGCCTCACGTTTTCTCATTTTCAAGAATGACTAAATATCGCTTACACCCAACTCACCCCTCTCCACTGGCCGCTGCACCAGCTACTCGGCTGCATTTCTGCATATGAAGTATTATTTCCGCAAGTGGAATTAAACTTTCCACAGAAAACTGTCCATTTTTTATGTTTTATATTCATCTGCCAGCACTTGTATTTATATAATTAAGCGCGTGGCAAGTGGAAATGGTACACAAGGAGAATATGCTAGGCTATTATGCAGGAATAACTTAATTTCAGTTAAATTCATATGTCAAAGATCCATAAGAAATTTCTTTCAACTTCATAAGTCTTGTGTATCATAGCAAAGGGATAAATTCCTAACACATACTTTTATATTTTTAAGAAATGTTTTCTGAATTAAACTCGGCTTTTTGAAAATTCACCCTGTGTGTGTCCCTATAATATTTTTGCATGAGTAAAAGGTTAAAATTTCTCTGTGCTCCGATCCGGTATGCATTTCCATTTATTCATTGCGAAAAGCGTTGAAAATTTCGGCTGCCAGAGCGGCTAATGCCTGAAACGTGTCGGCCTCTGATGGGTTGGTAACGGACTAAAAAAAAAAGAGTAGTTTGAAAACTGAGGGGGAGGAATGAAGCCGGCGGAGAACGAGAACTTTGTGAAAGGGTTGGCAACTGGAGTGAAACAGATTTATTTGGTTTCGGACTGGCAGAAATCTGCAGAGCAGTTTGCCAACTAACGAAGTTGGGAGGCTTCATTTCCACCTGCCGATTAGCCGGAACAGAGTTTTTCTCCTCCCCGCCCTTGGCGCTTGCAAATTAGTGTTAATTTATCAGGATTATTGCCTCGCAAATCAAGTTTGTTCAGACAAGTGCCGAGGAATAAAGAAACGAGAGTGGCTGACACAATGGAGGATGTTTTTAATAAAGCAAATTCGAGGCACTGAACACTCAGAACTGTAACTAATGCTGACTTCTAGCCTGATATCGAACTGTCAAGCTGTCAATTCTCGTTAGTAGTGCCTGCCGAATGCCATGTGTGATGTCCTATGTGTATCCGCATCCACGGAGTGCCCTGTCTGTGTGGCTCTGCTACTCGAAGTATCTGGCAGATAGCGTTGGCAGAGCTGTTCAAAAATTCAATTTCCAGCTGAAAAGATACAAATGCCGGCGAGGGCAGGGGTGGCTACAAATTGGAAATAGGTAGAAAAAGTCATTGAGAAACGATTGCTGACATGAGTCTGGCATGCGAGGGAATGTTAGCTTGGCCAGGAATAACGCAAGGCTTAAGCCACCCAGAGATACGGATACAGACAGAGATACGCCTGAAAAATGTGAAAGCTTTTCTTTTGCACAGAGAAATGCGCAAATACTGACAGCACAATTAAGGCTTTAATTGGCAAAACTAACTTGCTCCTTCCGTTTGCTTTTTCCTTCCAGCAGCAACATCAATAAGGCAAAAAGAACCCGAAAACAGGCGGAGCCGGCGAAAATCCATTCACCATGATGCGCCAAACGGAGGACTAGCAAACAAAGGCGATAACTGGCAAAAAACGAGGAGCGTCAAAGGATTGCAGACCCCCATCCGGAAAACTCCTCAGTCCCCTCCCCCCGCCCCGCTGGAAAACTCAAGGAAAATGCCATCCGTAGCGAATAACAACTACAGCAACGATGCGCGTCTCAGTTACGTTGTAAATCAAGTTGCATCCGTATCTGTATCAGTATCCGCATCCGCTTCCGCCTTGCCCTCCGCATCCGCATCCGCATTTCCCACTTTCAGTCCGCCACGGATTGCGAGCTTGGTGGCCAGCAGTTCGGCAGAGGACTTGAGCAGCTTTGGCGACGTGACATTCGACATCTTCGATGACGATGACGACTTGTTCGGCTCGCCAATGGCATTCGATGCCAGCGAACAGGGCCTGTGGAACGGCCGCTTCGTACCGCCCCCGCCCCGACCGCCCTTCTTCGTCGACGAGCCGGTGCTGAGCGACGGCCTGACCACGTGTGATTTATGCTCCTGGGCGATGCCCACCAAGAGCACCTTCATGTTCGAGGGCACGATAGGTGAGTGCAAGTGCACAACGGGGTGCACTGGGAAAAATCTGTAGTCCAAATTCCATTTCAATATTTACGGCTTTGAGTATTTAAAAAAAAATGTATCAAGCTATGCTGATAATTTAAGCTTTCATCAAAAGTCAATAAAAGTATTGTGAATAAAGCTAAAAAAAAATACCTAGATTTCTATTAAAATTAAATTATACCTAAGCCTTGCTGAACAATGTTTCAAACTTAAAAGCAAAATATATAAGGGTTATTTGAAAAACTGTCACCTTCATGTTTAAACTTTTATTTATTTTTTGCAACCTACATTTCTTTATATTTTACAATTTTGACTTTTCGTATTCCAAACATATCTTTAACTAAGATAAATTAAAATCTATTTAATTTAAAAGTCAGCTTAACTTAAATATTCTTATTGGCAGTTGATAGTTCGTCTGATGGAAGTTAAACTGTATATGTAAATGATGTATATATATGTCTAATAAGTAATAGTGAAACATAAATTCCGACTTTTTTGAAAATAAAATATCATGGCTTTATACCCCAGCTCATTTTTCTTAGTGTTAAAAAATGAGCTGATGGCTGCGTAACTCCCGTTAGTAACTGTACCCTTTTCCCCATCTTTTCGGTTTATTTTTGCAGAAAAGGCCACAGAACTGGGCTGGCCGCTGACGTTGATCATCGTGTCCGTATTGTCTGCGCTGCTAGGCGCCATCATCATGATTGCCGTAGTTCGCTGCCGGCGCAAAAAGTCCTCCAACAATCGCAACGGTGAGTACTCACATGGCCACATGGCCACATGGCCAACTTGGCCGACAACAGTGGGCGGATGGCAAACACAGTGGGCACAGTGGACATGGTTGCATGGTTTTTCAACATATTTTTAATCTGCCAAAGAAGAAGGATAACATAACTAGCCCTGGTTCATATTTATACCTTGACCTCAAGCAGGTATCTATTAGACAGGAATTTAATTCTAGCGTTCCTTTCTTGATTTTTTTTTAACCACTTCCACTGTGCCCACAGTCGACCATTATTAGGCCTTTACCGATGTTGACTCTCACAACATTCGGCGTCTGTTTTCGCAACTGTGACCCACCAACTAACCCCCTCCACCTTCTGTCTATTTTCCGGCACCCATCTACCGTGTGTTATTGTGTGCCATCTGCATCGGTTTCTCCAACACGCAGACACGCACGTGCAGTGGTGGTCCCGCAACAAGCGCGCCCACGGCAATGGGCTGAACGGTGGGGGGCGGGGCGAGCGGGACGGCGGGTGGGGCCGCTGGCAATGCGCACCACCACCACAACGGCAGCAGCAGCAACATAAACAACAACCACCTGAGGAGGAGCAACATATACACGGCCCACCCGGCGGACAGTATACGAGGACTGCAGCCGCTGCCGGTGGTGCTCCCTCTGCCGTTGCCACTGCCACTGCCCCACCCACCTTCAGGTGGTGCATCGCCCTCGTCGACCTCACCGTCTGCCCCACAGCAGCAGCCGCAGTTGCAACAGCAGTTGCAGCAGCAGCAGCAGCAATCCAACCACTACTTCCACCCATACCAACAGCAGCATCTGCACCACTCGCATACGCACCACCACCACACGCACCACCATGTGCCACTGTACCCGCACGATTGCGATGAGGATGCCGCCTACGAGGAGCCGGAATACCATCAGCCGCAGCAGCTGCACTCGGCCAACAGCAGTAGCTCCCTGTCCTCGCTGGGATCCTCGTCGCTGCCACAGGAAACCAGCAGTTCGGGAGCCACCAACTGGCCACCGGGTGCCTCGGCCGCCACCATGGTCATAGCCAGCTGAGAAACGGGCCAGAACTGCGCCTGGATCTGGCAGCAGTGAGGTGAGGAGTTCTACGGTGGTCTTTGGAGCCACTTAAGATGCAGCGCACATGGATGGGCGCAGATCATAAAGGGGATTACACGTAACAATTTTGTGAAGTTTATTTTTGCCAGTTCATCCGGAGAGACTCCCTATCTGGGTGCTCATGTGTGTGTGTGTGTGTCGCCAATTGGGAAAACCGAAACGAATTTAGTGTCACTTCCGTTTCCGTTTCGCAAACTATCGAGGCAGACAGGCGAGAGGGTTGCGGTATGGCCACAGGACAGGCTCTTTACATGCCATGCACGTTTCATCCTTTATTGCCGAACGGCATTAGAACAGGGATTTTGTCGGATTAAAGCAAATAAAGGGCGTGCTTTCTGTTTGCACCCAACTGGCAACTGCCGATGATGCCACAAGTTTAAATCGCAGCACCCTCGATTGTTTCGGGTACATCGAATCGCACCCTTGAAACACATATGACCCGTTTCGCAGGGTATGCCCCAGTCGATCAGAGGCAGCCCCTACACTTACCACTTCTCTTTTGTCTAAATAGACATTTTCGGCTTGAGCTTTGTGGGTAAATGTATCCGAGCCACATTCAGGGGACTGTCCGGGACAGGCATTGAGCCACAACTTTGTGGCTTTTCACTTCATTCCGCTCTTGTTTCGCCATGACGAGAGCAAATGGGTTCTGGATGGTTTCTGGCAAGCTGAAACAGGCAAAAACAAATAACGCTAGGGCGAAAATTGAAGTGAAAGTCGGGCAAAAAACTAGCAACATCATTCGCTTAATCATTAATCAAATTATGAGCTCAAGCATCTAATAGCATTTGCGTTTTTTAATGGGCACTCGTAATAACAAACCCATGACAAGCATATCAAACATAAGCTCAACAAGCCAACAAAAGTACTTAAAACAATCAAACATTGCAGCAACTTAAATGTAAATGCAAAAGTAAACAGAAACTCGCGCCATTGTACATAAATTGTAAATATTTTTTGCAATCCGCTCCAATTAGCAATTACCTGCAGGAGCGTGCCACAGAAAGTTTCTTCAACAACTAAATATTGCAATTTTTCAATTCAATAAAAACGAAAACAAAACATTCCTCTTAGAAGCAAACGCAAAGTTCAAGTTTTCATTTAACAATTACATTTAACGACAACACACAACCAAAGACTAGTCATTTAAGTCACAACGTCGCTATGTACAAACAAGTTAATCGAGAGATAAAATATGATTAAGCCAGTTAATTAATTCGACTTACGGATGCTTCACTCGAACGCATGCGTTTGGCATTTATTAGTTTTACGAGATGAAAGAACAACTGCAATATTGTATTTTAAATATTTATTCATTAAACGCACTTTTGCCCACTCCCCTCTATCCCACAATAAAAATAATCGTAATTAGCATTTACAATTAAAAACTCAAACATCAAGTAAATAATAAAAAGACGAGCTAAAAATGCGCAAAAAAATTACTACGAGCAACTCAAAATGTTCCAATGTTTAGATTAGCCAACTAATTACGTGGAAATGTAAACAAAACAAAAGTAAATACTTCATAGTTTTCATAACAAACTCATTAACTTGTGCAGAAATAATTTGGGCACACAAAATACAAAAAGAAAATAAAAACAAAACAAATAAACAAAATCATATTAAAATTACATATTTTGCTTTGATTGGGGGGAACTTCAGATGAACACTGCAATACCTATTTAGTAGAGATTAAATTGCAAGTACACAAAAAGTTACAGTTATTAGTCCAAAGTTTTCAGTAAAAATGTCAAGATTCCATAGCATTGGTTAAGTATCTAAAAAATTAACAAATATTATATTACAGCTTAGTTATATTGTTAAAAAAAACTTACAGCAGCGTAGTTTATTAAATTAAAGGACGGAAAGGGGCTAGCTCTCATGATCAGAGGATATTGGGCTCGTCGAATAATAAAACAGAGATCTCGGTAAACTTCTTTAGATCCTTTGGTAGGATCGTAAGCCTCATAAGCAGCCTCGGAAACTTGTAATGACTCCTGTGACAACCTATCTCCAAACAGCGACCACATGGACAAATGTCCCAACGCGAGCACCATGAGCACTCCAAACTGGCCCACCACTTTGGGATCTTTTCGAGCCTCCATTGCTTTTAAGACCGATAAAGAGACTAACAAGAAGTTAACTGCCATCTGCATGATGAGAGTGCCATGGAAAACGTCGTTGGCGCGATCTAAAATTCTAAAAGATTTGTCGAAACAAAACACACATACATATTTCCTTCTATACGTTTTTCAAATTAACTCTGTATATCGATGCTTACTCAATGATCTTCTGATGGAATCTGACTAGGCGTCTTGTCTCCAATCTCATCTCTTCATCGCCATGACATCTGCGGCTCAGGTGGCGAAGTTCGAGGCACAGAACCTCAATGGCAAAAGTCAGTTCCGCGTAAATGCATACAGAAAGACCCTCAATGCATAAAAGCCAAACTATGGCATACGTCATGAGCAAACAATGAAACAAGTAGATTATGGCGTGTGTGAAAGGGTGGGTTGATCTGTCGTGCCATTGAAATGGAAATGCCGCGTGAAAGGGAAGTTTTTGCTGCTGGACCCACATCGGTGATGTCATAAGTAATACGACGAAAATGCACAAGAAGAAGGACCAAAACGACCCAAGGAAAAAGGACATCAGGAAGTACCAGCGTTTGCCAGCTCGAATATCTACTGCACCAGGACCCTTCCGTGACCAAGGATGGAATGCCTCCAAGTCGGTGATCACTTCGTCCAGAGCATCGCCATACCAGTGAAAATAATAAACTTTAAATACAATGAAAAATGTCTGAAAAAAAGGATCTTAGACATATTAATCTGCGTTGCAAAAGATTGGGATGGTACGTACTCCAATGATGAATGCAAGATCCCGACCCATTTGAACACTGTTCCCAATCGATTCAGTCAAGCCGTACCACAACGAAGCAAAAAATATAGTCATTTGAATAAGCACAAGAGTGTGCCAAAGGGATCGATAGGGCCGCTGGCGTTCTTCTGAGCTAGTATATAAAATAAGCGCTCTGCAAAGAAATTGTAAATCGTTCTTAAGCCGATTTATTACTTTAAGCGCTCTTACTTCATCTGCTCCCTCCAGTAGTGGGCCGGTGTGTGTCTAGATTCTAGTTCAGGATCTCGAAACACTTTCCAACCGTCTATAAACAATTGTAGAAATCGATCTCTATTGCTACGCAAGTCCATTGCGAAGCTGTTCCGTCTTTTAAATGCCAAGCTAACACAATAAGACATTAATCCAGTTATAAATAAATGCACAGAAAGAAACTACTGTTGGTAAATCAAAAATCAAAAAATTTGGTTTAGTTAGGAACTCTATTTTTTAATCATTTCTTATACGGTAAGGTATTTCGAAATTCAATTTTATACAAGACCCGCATAACATATACTCATAAATTGAAGATGTTGATATCAAATTAGCCATCACATGATATATTTTTGTTTTATGTGTGGTAATAAGCACAAAATAATCACCATTTATTGCAATTACTGGGCGAGAATTTAACATCTGCTTTGTAAAGCTCTAATTGCTTCCACAAATTTACATATGGAATCAGTTCTTGTATTTTTCCTGATATTTTGCCTACGCAGCACAAGTTTATTTCTAATTGTGATAGTTTTGTTTTAGATAAAACCTCATTAAATTCTTGTGGAATTTTTTTTTTAAATTGGTTAGCAGAGTAGCGAGTATTTTATAGTCGGGGCACTATACGTTCTTTCTTCCTTTTCTCCTCCCATTTTTTTTTAGGAAAATGTTATATGCAATTGAAGATAAAAATAGGATACATTTTTTGTTTAGAGTGTTAATTTTATTTTGAGTGCTGAAGTACAGGGTGTAAACAAAATGTATATTATTTAAACAAAGCTTAAGAAATGTTAATCCATGGTTTTTAGCACAAATGTCAAGATTCCATAACATTGATTGAGTATCTAAGAAAAAGGTGAATTTAATTTAACAACTTACAAAAAATTGCAAAATTAAAAACATACAGCAGCGTAGTTTATTAAATTAAATGACGGAAAGGGGCTAGCTCTCATGATCAGAGGATCTTGAGCTCGTCGAATGATGAAACAGAGATCTCGGTAAACGTCTTTAGATCCTTTGGTAGGATCGTAAGCCTCATAAGCAGCCTCGGAAACTTGTAATGACTCCTGTGACAACCTATCTCCGAACAGCGACCACATGGATAAATGCCCCAACGCGAGCAGCATGAGGACTCCAAACTGGCCCACTACCTTGGGATCTTTTCGGGCCTCCATGGCCTCTAAGACCGATAAAGACACCAGGGAAAAGTTAACCGCCATCTGCATGATTAGAGTACCATGGAAAATACCGTTGGTAAGATCTAAAATCCTAGAAAATTTGTTAAGCAATGTTATTTAGTCTCTGCTATTTTTAATCTTCTTTCCTTTTTATATCCTTGCAGAGGGTGTTATAATTTCATTAAGAAGTTTAGAACGCAGTGAAGGAAACCCTAGTATATATTTCTTGATCAGCATAAAAGTTGTCTGTCTATTGCAAAAACCTTCTCAAAAATAATCTAATAAATGGACCAAAAATACATTTTTTATTTTTTAATTAAAGATATGATCTTATTTTAGAACTACGGTTTTAGTTTCATTAAAATCGGACGATTATATGATATAGCTGACAGGGGAACAATCGGAAGAAATTTAGCATATAGGCATTAAAATTGGAATGTTGTTGCTTTAACGAATATTTACTTTTTAGAATAGCTGCAAGGGTACATAAACTTCGGCTTGCCGAAGCTTGCTTTCCTTCTTACTCAATGATCTTCTGATGGAATCTGACTAAGCGTCTTGTTTCCAATCGCATCTCTTCATCGCCATGACATCTGTGGCTGAGGTGGCGAAGTTCGAGGCACAGAACTTCAATGGCAAAAGTCAGTTCAGCGTAAATGCCTACAGATAGTCCCTCCATGCAAAAAAGCCAAATAATGCCATACGTCGCAATAAAGCTCTGGAACAGATAGATTATGGCGTGGGTGGTAGGGTGGGTTGATCTGTCGTGCCATTGAAATGGAAATGCCGCGTGAAAGGGAAGATTTTGCTGCTGGACCCACATCGGTGATGTCATAAGTAATACAAGGAAAATGCACAGGAAAAAAGACCAAAACGACCCTAGAAAAAAGGACATGAGGAAGTACCACCGTTTGCTAGCTCGGATATCCACTGCACCAGGACCAATCCGTGCCCATGGATGGAATGCCTCCAAGGCGTTGATCACCTCGTCCAAAGCATCACCATACCAGAGAAAATAATACATCTTAAATATAATAAAAAATATCTGAAAATAAGGACCTTACTTATATATAATTTGGTTGTACAAACAGTAGCTTTTCCATACCCCAACGATAAAGGCAAGATCTCGACCCATTTCAACACTGTCGCCAAACGATTCCAGTAGTCCGTAACACATTGAAGTAAACATTACGCTCATTTGAATAAGCACTAAAATGTGCCAAACGGATTGATAGGGCAGCTGGCGTTCCTCAGAGCTTGTAAAGAAAATCATCGCTCTGCAAGAATATATTAGGTAGTTCTTATATCACAAAACCTCATAATTCAGACTTCATCTGTTCCCTCAAGTAATGTTGCGGGGTGTGCTCTAACTCCAGTTGAGAATCCCTAAACACTTTCCAGCCATCCTTATACAATTTTAGAAAACGATGCAAATTGCTACGTAAGTCCATTTCGAAGAGCTTCCTTTTGGTGAGTGCTTGTGGAAAAGAATGAAAAATACCTGTTTAATACGAATTTAATAAGTGCACAGGAAAAACAGGTTCAAAGCAATTTTAAAAATCACAAATATCATGGAAATTTTAATTGTATAGTCATTAACCTATAGCTTTTTGTTCTGTGATTATGTTCAAAACTTAAACTTAACTTAAGGCAGCCTGATTTAATTTAGTTCAATAAGAGCGGATTTGAAGCCTGTTGCTTACATCAGAATCGAAATTGTAATAAAAAAGTCAACTGATTTTAATTTTTTTCGGTGCGGTAATAAGCATAAAATAATGGCCACATAAAGTAATTACTCGACGAGAACCTAACATCTGCTTTGTGAAGCTCCATTTTACATGTGAAAGCTATAACAGCTATTTTACATTTCCTTAAAGCCTTGAAAGCCTTCCTTGAACCCAAAACCAAGTCCGGTTTTAAATCTACACTTTTAATGTTTAAAATTTCAGAATGAAAATTCCTTCACAACTGTTTGCTCAAAGTTATTTATATGTATATTTTTAAAAATAAAACAATACGTAATATAATTTATTTTTTTTACGTAATTATCGTCAACGTAATTAAAAATCATTTTATTTTCAGACAGTGAAACTGTCTGACTCTTAACTCTTAAAAAATTTGATTTGATCCCGTCCAAAGATTTATTGTATATAATGTAAAAAATATATAGTGAAGAAAATAATTTTTTTGTGTAAGCTAGTGCTATCAGCCAGCACATAAAATGAAAAACCGATTTAATTTCGATTTCGGTGAAGATCTGCCGAAACCGAAAAAAGGGAAAGCTCGCATTGTTATAAAATGTTTTTTCCCTTCACCCCAGCGAGCAAAGCAGCAGCAGCAGCAGCATCTGCATCTGCAGAGCTGGAAATATTTGGGTTGCCCGGTCAAGAAGGAATATTTATGCCATTTATGACACGAAAGGCCCTCCGAACGTGCTGTCCGCAGATTGTAGCATTTTTGCATATTTTTAGCACGAAGCGAAGCCGTCGAAACGAAATGAAATGCTGCAAATCGGCTAAGAGCAGAGGCAGATAAAGCCGGGCTTAGTCGAGAGGTGAGTTGAGTTGAGTGAAGTTGGTCGGAGGGCGCAGCTTGGCGCAATCGAAAGCGAAAGATTTCGGGCCCGATATGAGCATATGGTCATATGGATTGGGGCAGTGAGTCCCGGTTGCTCTTTTCCTTTTTTCATCACCCGATCCGTGGGTGGCGGTGGCGGGGACTGGGTCATTTGCATATTGGAACGATTGAACTGCCCGGACAGCAGGCAATTGTGTGTGTACAAGACCAACAAGATCGTCTGACAAAAAGTGAGATCCGTGGGGCTTTCCTCGGAGGCATCGAAAATGTCATGCGGTTTTATGACTTCATTAGCGACAGCCCCCAGAAGCCGGGTGGAATTTAATGGACCCACTCCTCTGGGCTGACAAACAAATTTGAGGGACATTTTCGTGTCTTGATGAGAGGGAAATGAGCCTAACTGAGCTGAGCTGAGCCGAGCTGAGCTGGGGAAAACTAATCAGAGAGCTGCTGCCAGACTTGCCCCAATCTGGAGGCCATGTCACGAGTCCATGCCAGCGATGGATGATGATGTGCATACGGGGCTGCCTAATAATGAAGTCGTGCATGGCATTTGTCCTGTACGGTTCGATGATTAAGAGGCCAGCCACCGAATCCGGACCGAGTGTCTGACACCTTTTCGCTGTTTTCGCGGGAATTGGCGCATGTCAGCAAATTGGGTGTACGAAAAGCGACCGAAGAGTCGGGCCTACTAACTGGGTCGGTTATTCTCAGTCATTTACAATGTCACACGATTTTAGCTAGTCGATAAGGATCTTAGAACAAAGCTGTTTCACTTGGCAGCAACCGAATCGAAGCAAATGGGTGATGAAATTTTTGTTATAATAACCCAAGTAAAGTTAATAGTATCAGGTATTTATTAGTATTAGATTAAATAATCTGTATTGTTTTTAAAGAACTTAAAAGTTTTATGTAAAACGAAAAAAAGGATTTGCCAACAATTATATCTGAGTTGAAGATTTTGTAATTATATATTTACAATGCAAACGAGTTATTCATTAACTAGGCAACTTTCTTTTTTTATGAAGTGCTTAAGAATGGTATGAATACATATGTGTAAAACTTTTGCTAAGTGTGCTTGACACCGTTTGAACCCATTTAAATCCTGCATCATAAGTCAGATTCATACTTCTGCAAGGCTTGAGTTTGCGTCTCAGAAGTTTCACTTTGAGGGGCTGGGGTGCTCAATAACTTTACCGCATCCCCTTGGCAGGCCCCCACAATGAGCGATATTGTGCTGAGATAATAAACCATACAAATAACTGAGCTGGTCCCGATGCTCCCACTGACATCCCTGAGTTTTGCCGACGATAATGTCGTCGTCTTGGCCAGGCTCGTTGAATGTCGACAGGCGAATCATCAGCCTATCGACAGTGCACTTTTGCCTTCTAAAGTGCATCCCATACACCACCACCACCACCACTTCGACATGCACATCCACATCGAGCAGTGAATCTAACCAGCTCCTAAGCCCGAGCGCATGCATCATCATTATCATCATCGTTGCCAGCTGCATGCAAGCGTAAAATCCAACTACTGCGCATGAATGAATCACGCTGGAGTCCAAGTCCACCGAGATCGCTGCTGAGATGCAAAACTTGCAGTTCGCAACTGCATCCCATGCCAGCCGTCTAGCGAAAGTCGCGACAAAACTCTCTCAATCCGCAGTCCCCCCCATTCCCGATGCCCGATGCCTGATGCCCAAAACCGATCCCCCAGTTTTCAGCTCCATCGATGCAGTCGGTCCTGTGCAGCCATAATGATGAATTAGGCTGCTGTCATGTCATGACAAAGGCGCTGCATGCAATTTAGATGGAAAACGGCTAGGCAGTTGGCTTTTCCGAGGGGGCGAAGGGGAGCTGAACGAGCCGACTAAGTAAATAAACACAAGCGAAATGCAATTGCAATTGCAACAGCGAATATTCAAACGTAAGTAGGAAGTGGGTCTTAAATGAGCCACAACGCAAAAAGAAACTGCAGCCTGACAAATCGTTTGCTGTTCAACTTTGTCGCCGCACAGTGGGGTTCAAAGTAGGGTAATATCAATTTTATTAAATTTAATTATATCTGGATTTGATTTAAGTAAATAAAATTGATCCACAATTAAAATTCTTTTACAGGCAATGGGAATAAATAAAGAATTAAGGTACACAACTCTTAAGTCAGAGTTTAACCAAGTTAAAGACAGAGCAATGCAGTTGTTGGTTAACTTTTTACCAACAATTTTCCAATAGCAACTTAGGGTTTCAAAATTAATAATTAACAAATATAAATCATATCAAGCCACATCCGAAATCGGATTTCAATAAGTGTTGAAAGGTATGCTCAGTTGCTAGTCCACTGTTTTCAGCATCTGTACCCATAATCCCGAGTAAAATTTGTTTTAATTTTACATTATGTGGCCCGACAGGTTTATACTTGTGCAGATGCAAATGAGCGCTTGGAGTGTATCGGATGTTGGCTATTGGCCTAATCCGCTGGCGTTTGCTAATTAATTGAAGCTGCTTGTGGTTGGCAATTAGTGTGGCCTAGACAGATGACATGTTATGCCATATTGTCGTGGCAAATAGAGTTATTCGCCTCGACCAAGGAGCAGAAAGTCAGGATCGTAGCCCCACAGACCTTCAGACGCTTGGCCCCATCGCAGCGAAGGTTAATTGCCAACAATAAGATTCAATCAAGCTAATGACGGAGCAGTCAAACGCCAGCAACCAGCAGCCAGCAGCCAACCAACGACCATCGGTCTGAAAGAAAACCAGCTTCCAGTTCGAGCTCCGCAGACAATTGCAATTTATGGGCCCAATCTTCCACTGCTTCTGACCACTCTTCGATGTTGAAAAGTGCAGGGGTGACCTTTTAGGGTCGCATGCATAAAATGCAGGCTCTTTTCAGAACTTTCTCGAGTGGCCCCAAAATGGTCGATATCATTTTCAGAGATGATTAGGGATTTAATAAAGCTGTTCGACAAGCATAGTGCACATTACTTATTATTATATCTGTTTAAAGTAATAGTGCCTTAAAATTCAACTTTTATAACTACTCCAATGTTCCCGACAAGACAGTCAGAATTGAATAGCACTGCTTTAGTATCTGCAAAAGAATGCCTTGAATTATTGCTAAAGGGGCTGCTTGAAAACTTACTTACAAACATGTAATTCACCAAGTTAAAAGGCGGAAAAGGACTAGCCCTCATGATTAGTGGCTTTTGAGCCCGCAGGATAAAAAAACGAAAGTGCTGATGGATGTTGATGGAACCAACAGTCGGATCGTATGCCTCATAGACAGCCTCGGCCACCTCTGCTGACTCCTCGGAAAGCATATCTCCGAATTTCGACCAGAACGACAGGTGCCCCAGAGTCATCAACATAATAATCAGATACTCGGCTGCCACTTGAGGATTCTTTCTGGCTACCAAAACTTCAAAAAGGGACAACGAGACCAGAAAGAAATTTACTAGCATTTGCATTATAAATGTTCTGTTGAAAATGTTGTTACAATGATCAGATAGTCTGTGAATAGAGCAAAGGTATTACGTGGTCATTAAGGTCATGCCAGGCCTTACAGAATAATTCGCTGATGGAACTTTGTCAGTCGATGTAGTTCTCTTTCCAGCAGACTCTCATCACCATGGCAATGCTCCTGCAGGCTACGCAACTCGATGCAAAGGACCCTCAGAGAAGAAGTCAGCTCGAAGAAGATGGACACGGCCATGTTCTCCACAGCCCCGAGCCAAACCAGAAAGTAGGTCAAGGTGGTACTTTGACTTACAAAGATCAGGCAATAGGCAATCGGGTGCTTCGAGGGATCGTGCAGATGAAAGGGCCAGGCCACGTGGAAGGGCAGTGTCACCGACTCCATCCAAAAGGGCGTTGATATTTTGATCAGGATGAAAGATACTAGGAAAGTAAACCAAGCGACTATCAAGGCCATATACAATAGGAAATGAAAACGCTTCGTGGCCTGCACTTCCTTTCTGCCCGGGCCCTTTGTCTCACAATGATGAATGTCATCAAGAGCATCTATAACCGCATCAACGTCATTAGCATACTGAGCGAAGAATATTAGTCTGAAGAATATAAATATGACCTACGCGTTTGGAAGGCTTACATTAATGACAAATTACAAAGGATCATTTCTTTTTCGAACCGAAATAATGAAGACCAGATCCCGTCCCAGGATGGCAATATTGTCAATGGACTCAAGAACGCCGTAGCACATGCTTGCCAGGCTAACAGCGAGCTGGATCACAATATAATAGTGCCAGACCACATTCCTGGTCACTCGCCGTTCCTCAGAGTTTGTGTATAAACACAACGCCCTATAAAAAGAATTTCAATACGCTCGATCTTAACAGACAGCATTAAGGACTTACTTTACTTGGTCCCGCGTCCAGTAGGCAATTATGTGCGTGGAGTGGGCCAGCGGATCCTTGAAAACTGCCAAGCCTTCGATGAATGGACTCCAAAATCGATCCCATTTGCCATTTTTACGTTCACTCTGCAGCTCGGTCATCTTTCAACCCAATGCAAATACTGGGTGTGCCGAGTGACCAGGAACTGCAAACTGCTTTTTATACGCATACGAGGTGTGGAATTACTGAATAAATAACGAAGGAACTTATTGCTCATTACGGCAATTGCCGGCCGAGAACTTCGCAGCTGCCGAGTGGCTGCCTGGGAAATGGAAAAAGGAAAATGGGAAATAAGAAAACTCATATTTGCAACTGCAATTATTGGCGAATACTCCGGAATACCGTCCACTTAAAATCATAGGAGCAGCCTTCGAGTGCCAGGCGATTATCGAGCCGAGCAGATTTCCACCGCCTCGTTGCCACTCAGCCATTGTTGGCCCATTGTTGTGGGGCCGAGTTTCGAATGCATGTTACCAGTTACCAGTGCAGTTGCAGTTGCCAGTTGCCAGTTACCAGTATGCGGATTGCGGACTGGCAAAGGCAAATTTGCACACTCGGTGCGGTTCTGCAACAATGTTTGCACTTTTCTTTCGTTATCGTGCGTTCTGCTGGCTTTTCCCCGCTCCATTTAAGGCAAACCGAAATGCATTTTACAGTTTTACCTTTTGCAAATCTCTAACGGCCTGCCAAACGAACAAAATATTGCCTTGGCCAAATTTGGTAGCCCCAAAGTCGACTTAAGGGGGGCATGCACTCTAAAAAAAGTGTAAAATCTCTTGCAAGTATATATAGAACAATAGTTCGCCCTTTTTAATAAATACACGTTTATGAAAAAAACTAGAGACTCTATAGGTCACAAAAAATTAAAATAAACATTTAAACTAAAAACTCCTAAGAACAGTGATAAGGTAAATTATAATTATTTTATTATTTTTGTTTTAGCTCTGCTAATAATTTTAATAAAATTGTAAAATATTTCTTTATTAAGGTTTTTGATTTCCATTAACTGTTTTCGCCGTCATTCACTTAAAGTAAGTTTTAAAAATGTTTTTTTTGTCTTGTTTATGTTTTTTCTTTGAGCTTCAATTACTATGGTTTAGAATTTTTTAAAAATAAAAATGTGTTTCATTTCGAATCTTTTTTGCTTAATTTGATTTAGAAACTTACCAGCTAGTTGATTTTTTCGTTACATTTTGTTTAAGTGTGTTAAAACATATCGCGTAGAACGTCTGGCCCGGGGCGACTTTTGACTTTTCCTATCGTATCTCTCGCTCCACATGCGGCTCACATCACCCACACGGCCGGACTTATTAATCTGGATAGCATTTAGCGAGGACTTGTCGCCGCATATTTGGCGAGTGGCTCCGACATAGAAACTGGATGTGGATGTGGCAGGGACGTTGGGGCAATGAAGCGAAGCTTGTCCGGTGAATGTCGTCCGCTTCATTAAGGCCACAAACAACAAACAGCAAACGTCGCAACAATCAGACAGACAGACAACTCTGCCAATTTCCATCAAAAGCAGTTGGCTGCTTTTCGGCTAGACCAAACGGAGATCGATTTTGGGGGGACTGAATCTAGTGGTGCAGCTTTCGCTTTGGGCAAGATTTCCGCTCAAGTACAGGTAGCACTACAATTTGCGCGCTTGTCAAGTGTACGACAACATTACGCGCAATTGTTCAATGTCAACGCATTTGATGAGCATGAAATGCCTTTGCCTTTGTGGATGGATTGCTCTTGTCAGGGATTCTGCTTCTGCTTCTGCCACTGCCACTGTCTATTCCTATACTTCTGTTTCTGCCACTGCCTCTGACTCTGCCTCGGCGGCTGTTGTCCGAACGGCCCATCCATTGTCCCTCTGGCTGCAGTCGTCACCAGGAGGCAGCAATTCCCATGTGCTGCCATGTTCTGTGTGATAACGAAGCCAGCTCCTCGAGTGCTCCATTGTCGCTGGGGCTCTCTGTCCTGAGCCGCGATGTACTCCAATCCGTCCGCCGACAGTTCGTCCGCTGGCCATGACAACGCTGACAATCAAAAATGCGCCGTATGAACTCAATTAAGGTTCTTCCTTGGGAGACTAGTCGTGGTATAGTGACTCTTTGAAGTACTACCTGCTCTTCAAATGCGGGCTGGAATGATTTAACCAGAGCTAATGGGATATGTAATGACAAATACTATAAATTGTAATTGGTTGAGATCAAAAATATGTAGAGAATAAAGATTACTAATGCAGATGATAGGAAAATTTTGCTCAATTATTGTCTGGCAGGGAACGCAGGGAATTAATCACATTTAATAAATATTATACACTTATTTATACAACAACACAGAATAAAAACGCAATATAAGAAATGCAATTTGAATTAAAGTTAAAACTTAACTTAACTTAACTTAAAAAGTAAAAATGGAGGTCCAATCGATAGTGAAAAATTTAAATACCAAACCATTTTAAATCACAATGAACAGAGTACCAAAAAGCGAATTTAAACAGGGGACCAAAAACCGAAAGAAAGATTTTGTAAATTCCCATTTACATAGCCCATAGATCTGAGTAGCGAATTCAAATTAAAGTAAATAAACTCCAAATAACCTCCTATGAAAGGCTACGATATTTTGAAGCTATAACCAGTTAGTAAAACCCATAAACCTGTGAAACGTAAATAAACTTAACCTTTAGTAGTCTCTTGATAGGATCAAGACTGTTATCAACTTTCGCAACTACTTATTTAGGATTACCCCATGTCATGGATAATCCATAAATACTCCCCGATTCAAGGCCCGCAGCAGCAGCAACGCCCCGAATAATGTCGGTTTGAAATTTGAAAGGCCAACTTTTATTACAATTGATAATAGATCCAGCGGAGAAAGAGATTGCGCAGTGGAGAGTTTCAAGTGATTTTTCGGCTAATAAATGCATCGAAATGCTGAATCTAAAGCACTTTTATGTCGTATAATTAATCACAATTATATGTTTCTATGGTCCGAGTAAATGGTCGGGACAATGGCCAACAAAGCGAAACGGTTTTGAGGTTCCGAGGCGCCACGGGGGTTCCCCGATATCGCGGGTCGAGCGGCGAGTTGGCCAAGCGGCGCACTAAAATTTTATGACTCTATTATGAGAGTGGCGGTCATTCTGCAGCCGCGCCGATTCCCCGGCTCCATTGTGGGGCCTCTAGAACAATAGGTTCTCTGGATGCCCCCGCCTCATCCTCGCCAGCGCTGTTTGCATTTGCTCTCAAGTGGATGCCAAAGATTTCAGCACTCAGATTATGCAACACACACACACTCGTGCGAGTGGCCGGTGTAATTTATAACTGAGCTAAAATAGCTGAGGAAAAACCTTAGCGGCAACAAAAAAAAAAAACTAAAGAAAATGCAGGGAAATACAACAAAAAGGCAAAATATAATGCACACAAATTTGCGTCGCCTCGCGGCCTTAGAAAGAGACGCGAGCCTCTTCATAATGTCGATGCACAGACAAAAATTCACTTAACTTATAAGGAATGTAAAAGTGTTAATTTTGAAGTTTGTATAGTTTCTTTTTCCAACCATCAAAATATTTAATGTGATATTTTGTACTGGATTGCAAAAGGCTTGCTTTGTTTATTTTGGTAAAATCACATGATAAGCTTAAAATATTTTCTTGCAATGTGGGTTCCGTTGGCTGCGCTGACCCCAGTACATGTGGTGGTGCTACCTTCCTGCCATGTGTCTCCCACTGCCACGCCCCCAGCCCCCAGATCGGTGCAACAGCAGCAGCTTCGTTGCTGTTGTCGTCGCGCAACAATAAACTGCATTCCTGGGATATTAATCACAGCAGCACTCGACTGCCCTCGACCACTTCACTCCACTCCACTCCATTGCAAGGCACTCCACGCTTATGAATAACTCCTGACTGCAGGCGACTTGAAGCTGGCTTTAAGTTCGAGCCGGGCTAATGAAAGTAAGCGGACAATCTATCGGTGAGGCTGCTCAGCAAACGTTTTCCAGATCTTACAGTTTGTCACTAGTGTTTTTGGGGCCAGGACATCGGTGCGCCATCACAACATAATCCGTTGCCGCACACCACTCGAGCGCTGAATATTTATTAGCAATATGCGATGTATTTGCCTTCGATTGGGGCTCGGTCATGCGCAAGCCGCTAAGCAAATGCAGCTCGCGTTCGATCGATTGATAATGGCATCGGACCGGGAACAGCGGGCAACAACACCTAGCCGACGGGCATAGGCCGGCACAACAATACAACAACACAGCCACAGCAACAGCAACACAACGGGCGAGACATGCAAACTAGGGATAGGTCCTGAACCCACTCCCCGTACACAGGAAGAAGTCCAGATAGTAATATTTCCCCTTAATTTGTATTATTATTTTATATTTTTAAACAATTATAAAGTTACATCTGATGCATTAGATGAATTAATTAATTTTGCATGCTCTACAATTTCATTCGTTTTATATAGTTTGGATAAATGTCATATTATAAACAATTATAACTATGTGATTGTATCACTATAAAACACTAAAGTATATACATGAAATAAATGCTTTTATTTGCAATATGATCATAGAAAGTATTCAAAAAGTTCACCTTCGTATGAATAGACTTAGGTGATAAAGAACTTTCTTTCTTTAAAAAATGGTTTATATTTTTACTTCCACAGTATAATATTTTTTTATTTTATACAATACTTATTTGTTATATTTATCTCACATTTCTCGATTGTTTTCCACAGTGTTAGAGTGTGCTCCCAGCTCCATTGGCAGTCCCTCCGCCGAAACACAATTAATATTTATGACCTTGCTCGGCTGATATATTTGCCTGGGCGCACACACGTAAATGCTGCGATTTATCATACGCCGGCTCTCGCAGTTCGCTGGGCTGGCAAATCTGGGGATGGTGTTCCGATATAGCCGCAAGGGTAATAGAACTGTTAACATGGGAATAAAATTTCAAATAAAATGCTATAGATTTCATCTAACTGGCTCGCCATGGACGACCGCGTGCACTCCACAAATGCAAATTGGAAATCGTTGGGAAAATTTCCATGAAATCGCCCTTTTTGATATTTAATTAATTCAAACGTCACTAATTAGCTGCCAAAAAAACGCAGCCATGTCAAAAT